GTGCGCGGAGAAGTGTGCCCCTCCCAGTGGCCGCCCCGGGGCCCGGGCTGGAACACCCTGCTCTTCTGCCGGTAGACCCTGCTCACACGCAGCTGGATGGCCGACTCCTGTTGCTCTGGCTCATGGGTGACGTCCTGGATGGAGCCCCGGACAACTGTGGAGGGAAGGAGACCGCAGGGTCAGAGGGTCCAGCAGGCACCGTGCGCCACCGAGGAAAGGCTCCCGGGACACCTGAGCACGCCTGGACCCTGGCTAGTGGGCCGCGAGGAGGGCGCCAAGAGACCCTGCCAGGACACACACGACGGGCCGGCCAGCCCCAACCCGGAAGCACACCACGTCTGAGCCTCTCCCAGGGGGTCTGCACAGACATCACGAGCGGGGACCCGTCCCTCAGATCCCAGACCCAAGTCTGCCAGGAATGCTGGGAGGCAAATGCTGGGGACACTGGGGACGTTTACAGAGCACTTCCAAGAAGAGAAGGTGCAGGAAAATGACAAAGGTCAAGAGCCCTCAGTGCATCACTCCCAGCTCCCGTGCAAGCCGACGGGAGACCTACTTCACGCAGAAGCCTGTCCTGAGCAGAGGCGGCAGGGGCCGTTCCAGCAGACCTCCCAGGCAGGTCTGTCAGCCTGGAAGGGTCGTGGGCACGGGCAGCAAGTCGAGAAACCGGCACTCACCAAAGTCGCTGGTGCAGACGGCCAAGAGGACCTCGGTGTCACTGCAAGGGCGGCACGGGGCTGGGGAGAGAGCACAGGGTCAGGGGGCAGCCGGGGCGGGGAGAGAGCACAGGGTCAGGGGGCAGCCGGGGCAGAGCGGGGCGACGCACCACGCGGCCCTCCCTGCCCGTGCACCATGGCAGGTGCAGCCAGGGTCAGCAGCCAAGGCCCCTCCACGTGAGTAAGGGCCACACGTGGGAGGCAGAAAGCCACCCCGTCCAGCCAGGGCCTGGGCCGAACTCGCACCCCTCCCTCTGTGGCTCCATGTCCTGGAGTCTGACCCCTGGGCTCTGCCACGGCCCCAAGGCCACAGTCAGAGGGTTTCGAGCTCATCCCCAGTGGCCTGGCCTGTATGGCTGCACCGGCCGGGCAGCTCCACTCACTCAGAAACCTCTCATGTGCCTGTCACAGACCAGCCCTGAACTGAGCTGACCCCAAGTCCCCCAGACCACCGACCGAGAGTCACCCTGACCCCAGCGTCCAGGTCCATGCTGAGATGCCAGCCCCACCCTCCCTCTGCCAGCTCCCTCCAACAGCAGACACCCCGACCCTGCCCCACGGCCCTGGGCACCTGCACAGACACCCCCAGAGGCATACAAACCATGGGGCCAGGCACTGTGGAAGGGCCAGCGAGGCTTAAGGGTCGCTGATGGGAGGGCCTCATGGACACTGGATGCAGGCAGGGGCCATGGCTCACTCCCTCAGACCACCGGACCCAGCCCTGGCATGAGGTATGCACCCAGTGCCGTCCGGACGTGCCCTGTTCAGCAAACCCCAACGCCCTGAAACCCGGAGGGCCAGCTTCCTCCAGAGTCTGCAGAGGGGCCGGTCTCAGTAGTCTGCACCCCGGCCAACCCGACTTACACAATCACTTCTCCTGAGAGTGGCCTCCGCCCTGCCCCGCCTACGCCGCCTGCCCTTCGCCCCACTTCCTCGAGGGGTGCTGCTGTGTGATGGCCCTCCTGCTCTGAGCTCCCCCTGCAGCTGTGGTGCCTGTACGCTCCAGACCAGATCTGGGAAAGGCTAACCCTCTGCTCCTAAATCACATTTCAGGCTTGCTTGCACCTGCTCTGAGTTTCTAGGTTTGGGCCCAAATTCTCCCAACTTGGTAGAAATGTTCGGGAATGAGACAGGAAGTCCCTGGCCAAGCCCAGGCAGCCCTTGTCTTGAGGATGCCCAGCCCTGGGAGGAACACACGCCCACACGCGCCTGAGCTCAGCCTGGTTGACAGCGAAGCCGCCATCTGCCTGGAGCCAGTGCAGACCCACCTGGGCACAGTGGCACGGGAGCCCTGGGCGCCGGCCAGTGCTTCCCCCTAGCTCCTCGGCCCCAGCAAAGGAGCTCAGAGGGGCCTGTGGGTCTGGACCGTGCACAGACCCTCCAAAGCCTGCACCTGGGGTCAGCGGGGACCAGACAAGACCCTGGAGTCGCAGGGTCTCAGACAAGCAGAGATCTGTGGCCCTCAGGGTGGGCGTGCGTGTCTGAGACTCACTTGTCATCCTGCCTTGGGGACAAGGCACACTTCCCAGGGTGGGTGTGACTCGACACCCCCCCTCCGCCCAGTTCGAGTCATCAGAAGGCAAAAGCCGCAGAACAAGAACTACCTGCTGGACACCTGCGAGGCCAGTCCCTAGGGGACGCTCCTCCCACCTGACCCCAGAATGCCCTAAAGTGCCAAGACCCTCAGACCTCTCCTCAAGTCAGATCCAGGAGCCCCTGAAACTGCTTGGTGGTCCAGGGGTCACACGGGCCTGACGCCTGCGCTGTACAGAGGCAGCACACGGCTGGAGTGAGGAGGCTGACCCCCCCTGCAGGCACTGGGGACCCAAACCCAAACTTCAGGTGCATTTTCATTTGGAGCACTGGCCTGGTGCCCTGGGGGAGAGCCCCCCAGCCTGGGCACCAAGAAGGCAAGTCAGCAACCTAAGCTCCCCAAGGGTCCCCTCAGCAAGCAGTATCTAGGAAAGTGTGCAGAGGACCCCTGGCTGAACAGGCTCAGGACAGGGGACCTCTGGGTCCCACAGGCTGGGGGGTCCGCATGGTCCTGCAGGCCGGGATTACAGTGTGGGGTCCTGCTGCTGGAGGGTCCACAGGGTCTCGCAGGTTCAGGGCAGTTGAGTCCACAGGCCCTTCCAGGCTCAGGAGGGGGAGGTTGCTGGGTCTCATAGGCTCAGGAGGGGGTCCACGGGTCCTGTGGGCTCCTGCACACTCAGGCTGAAGGCAGGGGCTACAGGAGCTGTGCCCATCACATCTCCAATCTGAGTCGGTGGAGACAAGCCACATGGCAGCCCCCCCGGAGGCAAATGCAGCTATGTTG